CCTCGCCCACCTTGCTCCGATCGCGAGACAATATCGAGACGTCCGCAGATGGGCTCATGCGCAGTGACTGACAAGGCTAAACAGCCCCTCTGTGCTCATCACACACGACCTGGGCCCCACGGCATGTGAAGGGCTTTCTCTAAGGCCGCTGAGAGCTCACGTATGTAGGAGTGACATTGTAGCAGCTGCTCCAGTCCTCCTTTTACCTCCGGCTCCGTTTTGTCGAACGACGGCCGCGACAGCTGTTGACACGCGGCCACCCCCGCCGGCTAACACGGGGACACCTCCGGTCCAACTGCGGTGTCTCTCGGCTGACCTCACCGGCTGACTTCACAAACTTTCATCACCTCACGCGCGTCGAACGCTCTGGCTTGATACCCGTGAGGCCTTGTGAGCATGCGCCCCCTATTCCTCCTCTAATTTGTCCAATCACACGACCGACACTCAGCCAGTCACCCCTTCCTGCTGACCTAGACACTCGCTCCCGCGTTAACAACACACCGCGACTGACGCTTTCCGTGAACGGACGTTTATGTCTGTCGCAAGCAAACAGCCAACTTACGGCAACCTGGCTTGCGTATAGAATAAACTAGTCCTCACAGCTTCCTGACTTCTGACATTAGACGAAACGAACTTATTGTGCGTAGTTTAAGTTGATCTAACATCCTTATCCACAACAACATAAAGGCCCCATTGAAGAGCCATGGCGGTCTGACTCTCAGTCCTCAGAAGACCTGAATATTCCCATCAGTTAATAAACTTTCGAGCCATGACGGATTGTCCGTCATGAAGGTCAGTATAGGTCAGTATATTTTAAGGGTAATAGGCAATGCCTTTGAAGTATTCAGGCAGGTCATATTTATTATAGTGTGGAATGCACCAATGTGCCACAAAGATAAATTCTTTAGGGTAAGGTGATACCATACTTACAGCGCAGGTACTAACCAAAAGCCCATACACGCGTGTTTCGCCGATATTGTTGCTGCATGGCGTAGCTGCGAGGAGTTTGACTCGTCAGTAGGTCCTCCGGCATCCCCCATCTGTTTTCTGGTGGATACTTCAATTTATAAATTGTCGCTTTTTAATTTCCTCAGAAATTATCTACGAACTTGGAGTAGGTCAGTTTATTCAAGGTCTATAGGCTCAGACCGAGAATTTGATGTGTGAATATTTGGGCTAAAGTCCACCAGCCACAGCTGGTAACCGCATAATATTCATTAACTACCGATAGGCAGCTAGTAGTATACTTTAGGGTAAGGTGATACTTTGGGACCCACTGACGAGCCGAACCCCTCGCAGCTGCGTCATGCAGCGGCAAAACATCGGCGAAACACGCGTGTATGGGCTTTCGGCTAGTACCTGCGCTGTAAGTATGGTATCACCTTACCCTAGAGTATACTACTAGCTGCCCATCGGCAGGTAATGAAAATTGCGCGGTTACCCGCTGTGGCTGATGGACTTTGGCCCAAGTATTCATACATAAAATTCTCGGTCTGAGCCTATAGACCCTGAATAAACTGACCCACTCCAAGTTCGTAGATAATTTCTGAGGAAATTTAAAGGGACAAAGATAAATTCCCCAGTGTTGGCCTCACAATCTTCCCTGTACGCTGCACCAGTCAACTGTCGGGATCTGCCATCCATCCGGTGGCTGGATCAGGCGGCGCGAGGTTTGCGTCTGGGCGAGCCATCACACCTACGGCATTGGCTCCTGGCTCACGCGGACCCTGTGTTGCCCGAGTAAAGCCTGCAGCAACCGGTGCCAGCAAGTCGCTACCTTTGAGCAGGTGAGTTTGCCAAATGCGGGTGCAATAAGGGTTCAAAATAATTGAGTTATTATCGCCAACCCTAGGGTGGGTTTGTCGTAAATAGTAATGTTCTCACGAAATAACGAATTATCCCTCACGAGCACCTTCTCCTAAAGGCAGCAAGTAAAACCAAGCAGTGAATAATATAGAGATTTTGAACGTTAAGAAAACTGAACAACACAGCACGACGGCGGAGTACGCTAGCAAGGCGGGTTGTACAGGTGTGTTGTTTTTGGTCACATTCAAACAAGCAATCCGGTCAAAGAAAATGGGACTAAATTGTCAAAGGTAAATTACTCCGGTACATCACCACAGTTTCACCGAGGACCTTACACGAATTGGTTAGAAAAGAGAACGAAAATGGGTAACGATAGGGTGTAGGACCTACAAGTAGATGGCAACTACAAAAATATGCCCCAAAATTCAGTGTGACTGTAAGCATCACTAATTATTCTCGTTTCACATTGCTTGAAATTTCCTTCCCTTCTGACTAAATATAAACTTACCGGCGGCGCTTTATTCAACGTCCGTTATTTTTTTGAAAATTGATTATTTGTTTATTTTTTAATTACCATGCTCACTTTCTTTGCCAAATGACATCCTACAACAAGACTTTCGGCAGAAATTTATCTATTTTCTGTGTCTTCTTAGTCTCCGTCCAGTGGTTTGCCTCACCCGTAAAACCCCCTCTACCGCCATTCAACGTATGACACGGTCCATAGGCTAGCTCAAGTTAGTTGGGGGTCCTACACCCTATTGCTGACCGAAAAGAAATAGGCACCATGTATGGCTGCCCTGTAAGTGACTGTGATATTCTAATTTTCCAGCGTACCGATAACGGACGGTAAACCCAATTGCCCGAATTGTCAGACCATTAATTAACACATTCAAGGAGCTCTATAAATCTTCATAATTTCAATGATAAGCAGTGACTGCTAGTTCCTTTACAGCTGGGCATTCTAAGACTGTGGGAAAATTAAATCCGAATGTGTCCTCGCCAGCATAACTGGCCGTTCCCCAGAGATGTTGGCGGCCTAGTTGTACCTCTGTGGTCCTGTAGCGTCCCAGGGCGCAAACAGAATTGTTTGGATGTAGTGACACTTTTGGCGCGCGGACCTGGGATGGAGATGGCGTAACTGCGTGCTGGCGAAGACGGCCGGTGTCCCTTCCTCTCGCTACCGCCGACCCCCCTCCCGCAACGAACCGTCGCTCTCGACTCTCCCTCGATCTCTCACTCAACGTCGGCTCCCCCTCGGCCCTTCCCTGCAGTTGCCCACAGCGGTGCATCCCCACCGGCTGTTTAGCTAGTATTGCAGGGTCTTCTATCCATCCAGACAGGTCACCTATCCGCTGTTCCTCGTTGCATGTGCACATTAACATTTTTTATATACATTCTCCATATCATGTTGTTCCATTACACAATATCCATACTCGACGTACTCTCTTCTTCTGCGTGTGAACTAGTTTCGAGAGATGTTAACAGTCCTGTTCAGGTCTACCTCTGCCAGGATCTCTTCTCGGCGTTTCCTTACTCTGGTGTGTGTTACCCTTGACTTCCTCGGCCGCTACAGTCCCACTGTTTTGCGGTCAAGTATTGACGGATATTAATGGCAGGAGGACACTTTCTAGACCTTTAAATTGCAGAAATCCACCGAAAGTTTGGTCGTTTAGCAGATGAAATATGATATGCACATAACCAGAAACCCAAATTTTACACCCGCACTTTTTCGAACTGTTAGCCCGGTCAGGACTGATAGGGACGAAAGTTGTCCGTGCGGATACTTAGGCGATGTCCTCTGTTTCAACCTGTTGAAAGCAGGCTGACTAGTAACCTAGATCATCAGAACAAATCCCTGGCCGATGATACTACTCACAACTGATCGCGGGCTGCGCCGAAAAAAGCTTTCGGATGTCTGTCCACACAGCCCACGCAGATGCTCCACCCTCAAGGAACTCTAAACAGGTTTCTGTTGCCACTGCCCAGAGGTTGCTCGTGCAGATCACCCTCGTCATCGAAGCTTCCACTAAAACTCTAGCAGCGCGATCGACGCCCTCTTCGTCGTTATTGCTTGGACCCGAAAACGGCGAAATTGTTGTGTCAGACTTAGCTGCAGTCCCAAGACGCGTGTGACATACACGAGAAAGTGGACAAAACGTCTGGCCAGCAGCTGCACTCTATCCCATCTCAAGTCATCTGAAGTGAGCTTTGTCGAGTGGTACTCCATGTGGTGGGAAAGGAAGGACGAGTTTGGCCAAGTTTCGGCGACAATTCCTGGTTATAATTTATTCAACGCGCTCTGATCTAATGTGGCTAGTTCAAGTTGTGGTTCTGAAGGTTTCTGACTGGCGGAATAACTCGGCCCTCTGAGCTAAAAGCCAGACGGCAATGATTCAACTTAGCGGGGTTCTATGGCAAATACTGCTGATGTGACATCCCAGCCGGCAAGGTCTGGTTCATGTCTATATAGGGGACCGTATGTCGGTGGAAGGTGTGGCTGCTGGTTGGACTCGAGAGAGAACCCGTAAGGCACAAGGGGACGAGTGAGTTCCGTAGAAACGATCGGTGAGCGCCCCTCTACCATCGTATATTCCCGATCGCCACCTACAGGACACGGGCCGGTGGCTCAATGGTTAGAGGCGTTGGACTTCTAGCTAACAGGTCGCAAGATCGAGCCCCAGGTGTTCCGCACTTCGGGGTTTGAGTATGACTCCTGACGACGTCTATTAAACCTGTGTCCCTTGTTGGTAATACCATTCTGCAGACGCAGTTTTATTCATCACGTCAACGTTCATCGACAATCTTTTGTGTTCAGTCTACAACACGAGCAGTGTGGTAGTCAAGAGTGAGTTAGTTGTTTCAGGAGTCTGCCTTAATTAAGACCTTTTCGTATCAATAATAGAAGGGACGGATAAGTATAATAATCTGTGCTATGGCCCTATGCCTGTCAATCGCTTTCCATTTCTGATTACAATACTAACTGAAAACCAGAACATGTGATTCGCTGGATTTCTGTGGTTGCGGGATGCAGTTTTAAGGAGTCCGGAGCATAAGTGAATTCAAAAAATCTTGTAGCGGACAGGCGTGAAGGAGTATGACTCAATTCTGTTCTAATGGTCTGTAGCGACCAGTTTGAGTGTAGAGGTGCCTGACACGAGGCTACTTTTCGCTTTCCCTTTCTGTTTCCAGTCGCTATGCGCGAAGAAACTGATCCCTCTTCCCCTATGGTAGCTCCCAACTCCACCCTCCCTGGAAAATTTTCAGGATAACACTTCTTTGCACAGAGTGCAGGTCGGGCGTCAACAGTCCTCAGAGGTAAGCGTGGTGAGTGGCGTCCCACAGGGCTCAGTCCTAGGTCCCACGTTATTCCTCGTTTTCATAAATGACTGCATCAAGGACTTAGACTGTGATACCATCCTGTTTGCCGATGACATTAAATTGTGGAAAGTTATTCACAATGCGGCAGACGCAGACCACCTGCAAGCAAACCTGAACATGCTCGAAGACTGGTCGAAGCGCTGGCTTATGCCCTTCAATATAAGCAAGTGCAACTTTCCTCAACTAGGCAGCTTCAGAGCCTCCAGCCCCAGGACTTACTTCCTAGAGGGCACACCCCTGCAACAGGTTGACAGTCAGAAGGACTTGGGTGTATGGATTATATCTTCACTCGAACCAACACTGCACTGCGCGAAGGCGGCTAAATCGGCTATGGCTACACTGCAACTCATTAAGCGAGCATTTATGGAATTTGATCCAGACAGCTTTTCAAAAATATTTGGCACCTACGTGAGGCCTCATCTAGAATACGCCATACAGGCCTGGAGACCTTGGACTGCCAAGGACTATACCGTTTTGGAGAAGGTCCAGAGACGGGCGACCAAAATGACACAAGGTCTGGGAGCGCTGTCTTACGAATCTCGACTGTCAACTCTCAACCTGTTTCCACTTTCCAACAGGCAATTACGTGGTGACCTTATACTTGCATTTCGCATTATCAACGGCCTAGACTGTTGTTTAGATCCCATTGATTATTTCACACAAGCTAACACGCCCAATTTGCGCGGTCATCCCCTAAAACTACGCGCCGGGAAAGCAAGGATCAATGGAAGAAAGTTCTTTTTCAGTCACAGAGTGGTTGCAGCGTGGAATGCCCTGCCCACCGATGTTGCAACCTCCTCCTGTGTGAAGTCCTTTAAGTTTAGACTTTACGCGCATCAAGCCTCCTAGTTACCAGCCTTGCATCCACTCACATAACATAGCACCAACTTAAACTTGTTTATACTACTTGTAACTAGTTAGTAACCGTTATTTATTACTCTTTTCGTACTAGCTGTCAACGATTATGTACAAAACCCCTTTTTTCGCCTTCCCACTATCAATGTTTTTCTCCGACGGCTTGTAAACAATAGGGAGTTCAAAGGCGCTCGCCTATATTTCCCTTAATAAACTGAAACTGAAACTGAAGATCGACTCTTCTTTCTTCCCAATGTCTACGTTTCCTCCAGTTCTTACAATAAGCATTTGCTATTTCGTTTGTTTATCTTGTGATTGGAGTGTTATATTTGATGAGGCCGAGGCGAATGATACCCAGAAATTGAAGAACGATACGGACCCGGACTTTTCATTCCAGGCACCCTGCACGGGTGCGGACGAGACAACGTCCACTGAACGTCTTACGTTATAGACCATGCTACTGCATATACGTAAGTAGTATTATTTTATGATTTTAGTTATTCACTGGGTGAAGCATACACGTCTGCTTCGATATTACTTAGCCCATTCAGTACCGCGTACTGGTTATTGTACAATTTTGACATAGAAGGCATTCACAGACAAATGTATACCAGTAACCAATGCTTGTTGTATGTAATTACTTACTTAATTTTCTTTGACACTTGCCTTACACATTGTTTTTTATGACGTTATTGTAACCAAAAGGGGGCTTCTAAGGCGCTCGCCTACCTTTCCCTAATAAATCTGATCTGATCTGAACCCCCTACAGGGTCGGTCATTACAATCTATCAGTCTCGTTTCTGGCAGTACCCAATTCACTGTACCGATTTCCATAGCATCACCTGAATACACTGAACGAACTTGTACTGATGTTAGACAAGGTCATGGAGACCGTAAATTGTCAACGGGAAATTGGCGAATTATTACGTTCGCCCATCTGTGAGGTGGCGACTCTAAATGAAATTCCCAGTAAATACATTAATTTCTTTCATAATATGAAACAAGGTTACAGGCTGCCCCTGAATGATAATGTACATGGATCTGCTACAGGTTAATACGCCCGTGAATCACTTTTTCTACCCCAGTGCTCCGCAAAGTTTTTGGCATCAGCATTATTGAACTTTGTGTTCGTGTTAAAGCACCATAACTAAAGACTTAAAAAGAAGATCCACCTTTCGGCAGTTGACTTTTTCATCTCCCATTGACAGACGGCCAGTTGTAGCGAAAACTGATGTCAGCCTGAGCCCTTTCCGCCCCTCTTTCTCGAAAACCGCTCCCGCATCGTTCGAGTTCCTTAAACTTTAAACCAATTGGTTTCCACTTCCTCTGAGACGCCTACGGTAGATCACACTAGGCAGCCGGTCTGGAAATGTGTCTACTTCCTCTATAAGCGATTCCCCTGAATTCAATTTTGATGGTGCAAACCATCGAGTCAGTCTTAATGCCCTTATCGTTAACTTTAAAGCTGACTGCTTACCTTACACAGTTCTGTAATCAATTGAGAATTACCAACAAATTTTCAATAAAAGGGGTTATTTCTTTTTATAGTAAATTTCACCGTCTTTGACGGGTGAGATTATTACCAGTTCTCTTTAATTGCACGACTGAAGCAGTAATTACTCGTCAGCCTACTGCCACCAGAGTTTTTCAATTGAGTCACCAGCACCTCAAAAACACAACTTCTTCCGAAGACCCATTTAATGGGGATAAAGAAAAACAATAGAAAGTTAAGGTGGTGCTCAACCAGTCTGCCTTACTTGAAATGTCCTTTATCCTTCATGATTAAAGACTCGAACCAATTAGCCATTTTGTCCATCACCGTACTTCGGCATCTCCAAAAAGGCAAAGTCGGGGTGAGACCAACTCGCAGTCAAACTATTAGCCCTGCGGTTACCCAGCCTAAAGAGTGCCATTGATCGTTTTGCGAGATAAAATAGAAAATTGTATGCGGTGAGCGCTTTGTTCAAACAACTCGATTCTGTAGACACGCCATTTGGTCATTGTCTCAATGGCCTGCACCAAATCAAGACGTTTTTTGAATTCATGCCCCCGGGGCTTTTTGCGCCTTCCCCGAAGGTGGAAATGAGTCGAGTGAGCACCCGATTTTAATGATGTCTGTGAATTGCAAGTGGAATCTGTCCAGGGCATAATCCCAACCCTTCGCCTAACACGGAGTCACAGCTGTTTGGTCGAATTAAAAAGTGGGTAAGTAAGCTCAAGCAAGTGGAACACTTTTCTGAATCTCAGTCACTAAAGGCAGGACCTCCGACAGTCAGGGCTACAAGCCTGTTCATACAACAGTAGACTACGAAACCAATTTCTTCAGAACTGGTTTTAGACTTAGAGGAAAAGGAACTGTCCGACAACATTTATAAAACTGTTCCTCAATCACAGGGGAGGAAGAATTCAACTATTGAAAGAGTGATTATGATACAGGATCGGCGTTCCAATCCGGCAACGGTATGGAGAAGGACTCCAATTTACTGACGGCAGACTGTGGATCACGTCGTAGGGGCTTTTATTTTGCCATCCATTCGTTGGCCTTTGCAGACATTACATTGCCAATAAAAGTCACTTCCCATGACTTCAGACCGTCATTCAAACTCCCTTATTATTTTTATTTACTTTTTGCCAATTTTTAATTCCCACGCCAATTTCCGTTATCGTATGAAAGCGTAAGATAAGTCTTTCAGGAAAAATCCAAACAATTCTGTGCTTTTCTGCATTTCGTCCGCTTACTGTCTAGTATGCTGCCCCACCTGTAAAACTCTCCTTATCGCCAATCACGTGTGACACGATCCACAGTCTACCTTCAGTAAAGTGGGGTCCTTCTCCATATCGTTGCCTCCAATTCTTCCAGAGAATCATTCACAAGTGGAGAGTTTTCCCATTCTCAAACAGTATGCTGGCAAAACCGCTGCTCATGAGGATACTAAATCAGCTAAAACCCGGACCAAGTTCCGCACAGTCTGGACGACAGGGCTGCCTATGTTTAACGCGCCGAGCATGCTATTTCCGTGATAAATTACGGAGACGGCATGTGGCGTGGCTTAGATAGGATCAGGAATTCTGCGGAATACCCCTGCAAGTTCGTTTCGCGTCTTCTAAAGGTAAGGTGATCTTTTAAGACTCGAGTGGTGACACTTTTCGTCAGAAAATTATTAAAATTGACCATGAAGAAGTAAATAGTTTTTTTCCTCACCCAATATGAGGGTCTTCTGATGAGGTCCGCCTGCAACCAGTGAAACTTTTGCACTTTAAATCAGCCCTTTTCGCTCGTAAATATCCTCCTGAGGTTGAATACATGAGGCCGAAAAGCGTGCATCCTTTCTGGACTTACACCGGCCGGAAATTTACCTCTAAGGATGGAAACCACACAGAATTGGCTGTTTTCGACTGTAGAGGTTTAAGTAAAATTATATGCGCGAGCTGACTTTGAGTTGCCGGGTAGGTAGCGGTATATGCTGAAGTCTTTTCTTCTTTTGAATGCTGGTTAGATAAAGCCCCAGTTCTTGGGGCAGGGGAGTCTTTCAGAGTTCCATTTTAATGAACTCTCATAGATGGCTCCTGTACAGAGAATATAATCAAGGGCGGAGTGGAAATAAGAACCTTAACTAGAGTCGGATTACTTCTTTTTCTTGCGATCAAGTTGGCTTATCCTAAGATCGTCTCTTCCTCCACGGGGACGAGAAACCTCCCGCTGGGCTGCATTAATTATATTATCGAGTTCAGTCAAACGCTCGTAAAGGACGGGATTACCGTTCTGAAGGTAGAAAGTGCTTGAGTCCCAATTCTCTTGATACTCTTCCCCATCTGGATCAATTGGCAGAAAGGGCTCCATCCTTTGTCGCATGCTGCTTACTGTTTCCTTTGTCTCACCAAATACCCAAGTGCGGAAGGCGGGAACGTAGTAGAAGAAGATCCAGAAATGATAGGCGAAGACGATCATCATTAGGAAGATTACGAGGTCTTCCAGGGCATGCAGCATGTAAAAGTTTAGTACACCATCGGTTCTGCCGTTGTTCTCAATGTCATAGTAAATTTCATAATTAAGCAAAAAACGTATGATTGCTCGTGCAAACGTGAGAATAGACAGACTCATGTTGAAGACAATGCAGACCCAGGCGTCACGCCGAGACTCGCGTAACAGAAAAGTGACCTGGAAAACTGTCTCTGTTATTGTTCCGGGCAACCGGTGCGCCGTGTGCAGGTAGTCGATGGTGTTGTCCAATTTACCCACATCCCTTGACATCGCCATGATGAGGAAGAGAACTGCTAAAGATTGACCGCCGCCGTTTATGAAAAAGGTCTCGTGGAATATGAGCCAACGGATGACCTGTGGCGTCCAGACAGGATCTTTTCCACAAATGAACCTTCCATCTATGCGCCAAAGGTTGCATATTATAAAATCAGGGATGGCAGCGACGAATCCACCAATCACGCAACAGCACAAGACCACAAAACTTTTGGTAGTAGTAACCGGCTGGTAACATTTTGCCTTTATTGCCATGGCTCGGTTGGCGGCGTCGGCATATAGGATGTTTGCTACTGTAGCTGAGATGAAACAGCGGACAAAGCGGGACGTTTTACAGGCAAAGGTATGGGAATACTCGAAAAAAAACGGATCATAGCCGAGCCACAGGAGCCCTTTGGTTAGAAACATGTCGTACATCCCAAAATACAAGAGAAAGGCTATTCCAAATATGCACTGAAATGAACTGTAGGCATGTTGTCGGGCAGATCGGATGAGATTGTTGCAGAAAGCAGCGAGGAGGGCAAGTTCCCCGATAATTCCGAAAACGACAGTTGGTAGGACTAGCAGTGCAGCGACGCCACCGACGGTCGTCACCGTATTGCATACTCGCGTTGCGTTTTTATTTATCATGCCAAACTGAGCGCAGTCCGCGTACATCCGTGAGTTGAATACAAATTCCTCATTCTCCATTTTGTTACTTGTCTCCGGACGCGCAGGACATGCGAGTCGCCACCTATCGATCCGCAAATTAGACCGTCAACCGTTCGATTAAAGACGCGTGACCTTGACACGTATGGGTCCAATAGCTGTAAACTGCACTCAGCGGTGAATTAGACACTTGCACACAGACGACAAATACGAATGTATCTCCTACATTCTGGTGGATCTGCGCCTAGTAGAGTCAAATTAATGCACTTAAACTAACGAGAGGATTTGGAGATCGTCCATTTGAAAACTGTCAGCCTGAAGATAAGATTGCATCGTGATACAGAGTCAGACATCGAGGATTCTTTAATGTGGCTTTTATAGTAACCTTTATGAGAGTGCCTATCCGATCGTGCTGTCCGATTCCATGGAGGGGGGGGGGGAGAGCAGTACATTTGTGTGGAAACGGGCACACATAAAACGTGAACGATAAGAGAAATTAATCAAGGATCGTCTTTTCATACGGATGGGATGTGCGAATAGGGGAGGAAGGAAAGAAGAGACGGCGAATTAGGAGTCAGTGAGGGACAAGTAGAGTCGTGCCAGAAGGGGCAAACGGAGGGTTGGAGAAGTGTATGCTGTTAACCGAACTTTGCTATGGTAGACGCGGAGCTTGCGTGCGGTACTTCTGCGCGCACAAAACCGGCTTCCGTAACCTAACGACAGTCGCTTATGTTGTTGCTAACAGATACTGACCAAGTGACTTGAAGTGGTTCGTTAGAACCCCATAAATCATAATGCTTCTTTAGAGTCTACACAACGCTCAAAATCAATAATTCGTTCGATAATAGCACTGCTGCTGCTCTTAATTTTGCCTTTTCTCAGACATTTCGGTAGGTGTTCCCGCATGATTTTGATAGGTGCCGACTTGTGCCATCAACGTAACCTGCTCTACAGGAGCAAGAATAGAAGTGAATGCACATGTATAGGCGGTCTGAGCTGGCAAAGTATTCTGCATTTTGCCGTGAAAAACAGGGTTGGTCGAGAATAATACCCGAATTATATGATCTGAATGCCAGAGAATATCACTACTACTCGGATAACGGAGATCCGTGTCGAGCGTAACGAAAGAGCTATTGTTTGCCTGGAAGTAACCGTGTTTAGCAATGAGCTGGAGTGTTGGTGTAGCAGCAATCATATGAAGAACCCTGGCGAACTCACTTATAAACCAAAATCATCTCGGTTATGTAGTGTGGCCACAAGATAAACGAAACGCATGACTGGGCTTTTGGTTAGCCCTGTAAATATCAATATGAATCTGGATGCTACTGGCTTCCTATGGGTAGACTGGGAATTTCAGGGGTTTATTTCGCCGAACTTGTTAGAATCCCGTCCATTTTTAAGGTCACCTTTAGGGTAGAACGTGAAAAGTAATGTTTCATACACTAGTTTTAACGGGATTCTAAACTCTAGTATAAACGTTCTTTCCAGTCGGCTTGCGGAGTCTTGAGCGCCACGGATAAGCACACGTGCCTTGCATCCTGTACAACCGATTTTCTACTGCCCATACCATCAGGCTATAAAACAACAACTATCTTCAGGATATAAACCTCGAAACCATGAAATATTATAGTCAGCAGAGCAATAATTTACATGACTAAATTTAGGGAATACCCTTAGAATAAAGACAAACAGCGAACCTCAGGAATCCGTAGACCACAAACAAAAGTGTTGACAAAGCGCTTGAATCCCGGTGGGATCTGGAAGGAGGTTTAGCCGCAGGGCCGCACTAAAGCTAGGACAGTGCTCAGCGAGAGTATACAGTCTTGTAAGAGCCTCGAAGGCAGGTTCGGGGACGAGGTCTCGAATGTACAGCAGACCCCCTTCCACAAATTTCTGCAGAGGAGCCTTTAAACAAAGGTGATGCAGTTTCACAAAAAGGTAGGACGTAAATTTCAGAGTCGTATTGTAAAGTACTCTTGGCGCCTGGTCCAACTGATGTCTGGTGTACTGCGAAGCCAGGCGACAGAAAATGGAGGCCAGCTTGTGAGCTAATCGTTCCTCGCTGGTCTCTATAAAGAATATGTGCCGTCCAGATGGGTCGCAGAAGATGAACCCGGCTACCTTCAGAGTTGGAGACGGCGATCTGTGTTCTGAACTGTCATCCTCGAAACTCTTTGATGAGCTGGTCTCGTTTTTGACCTCGTCAATAATCCTCTTTGCAGTATTGATGGCGCATTGAGTCGGATTTTCGAAGTAAGAGCCTATGAGCAACCAAAGAGGCTTTCCTTTGAGGATGAGTTTTGCTCCATTTTGAATACACTTAAAAAGTACTTTTTGAGAGGCATTTATCACCCAGAGGTAAGCACTCATCCATACTTCATGGTGCGTTAGTTGGCTCAACAAACAAATACGAAATTCTAGCGACTGTTTTAATTCCCTGTCAGAGTTTTACACGAATCGAATGGGTAAATGGAAACTGTTATGTACTGAACCAATGAGAATCTTTTTAGAACACACGGGTACGGTTACAGGTTGCAATAAAGTCTGTAAAGGTAGTTGACGAGAGAATACTGAGCATTTTATTTTGGCCTACGCAAGGGTTAGGTGGGGATGGGTTTACGTTTTGTTGAATTTGAGAAAGGCAGCAGTATGCTTTTCAACCACTTAATCGCAGTTGAGTAAGCGGATCAGAAGGCCACACCGCATAATTATCATGTGGGACTCAAATGTCTCAGTCGTAATGCGTCTTACGCAAATTCGAGGATCCGGACTTAAATCGGGTACTGCCATGTGGTTTTCCCGGCTTCTATTGTCATCCTACAGATAAATGTTCTAGTTCGTCAGAAAATGTAGACGACGTCAAGGTTATGCTTCAGAAATTGAACTTTTTAAAGCGTTTTAAACCACCACGACCCTGTGGTTGCCCTCATTGCTGGCGGAAGCCCCTCTTTCACAGATACTCTCCAGAAATCACTATCTGGAGATATTTAGCACAAATGAACGAATCCAGGGCATTACTGATGACCGAATTTTGGACTCGGAACTACAAACGACAGACTGGCCCTGGTTTCAAATGCATAGGCTGGTTGGAAACGATTATAAGTGCCGCGCACTACAAGTGGCCAGGCGTTAAATTTCAGGGGGATACTTATTCCTAACCCATACCTTAACACTAACCCTAACTCTGGCCCTAACCTTAGCAGTGGCCCCAGCCTTAATCCTGACCACCCTGAATTTGGCGCAGGCGCAAATCTAATACGTAAGTACTTATAACCGTGATCTACCCATAGGGTGCCTTCTACCTTAGATTTATCGGCTCTAAGGCAGATAAATTTAGACGCATACAATTTAAGTTTATAATTCTGCCCGTTGCTCAAGTGGCTCATATTTGCCTAAAAGAGATCGGGAATACTGACAGTGACTCAAGAGTGGTGTCCACCAATTTGGATGACCCGCAGCGCTCGAAGGCGATCACAAAGTCATGAATGATTAGCCCTGCAGAGGTAGTAACGATCGGTTTACCTCCTGGCAGCGCTGCTTTAAGTCTTCGCAGTAATATATGAGCCTTGTTCTGACTGCCCATCGAAATATGGGCCCTTTTTCTTTATTTCAAAACTCTGAGAAACAGGGCACTCGTGTCTATCGAGAGCAAATAATGTTGACGGAACTCTTCACAAAAACACGAGGATGAGCGTTGTTTAGAATCTTTTCCCTCCTAGTAAGACGCGTTACTTGGTTTTTTTCCTTGGGAATCTGGGTCGTCTGTTGATTATTGGGAATTTATCAAAGATATTCACTTCGCATAAGAAGAATCAATCATCAGAGTGCACTCATTTAGAACCTGAATATCCGAGCAATGATGCTCCTGTCTCTAAGTAGAAACTGGCTAAGCCGACGCGCAGTCAAAGTTAAATACTTCGTTTTCCGGTGTACTCGGTCTCGGGCTACCACCCAAAGGACTGTCAATCTCATTGGGGGTCGGGCTTTAGGTAATCATCTTCTTTGAACCACCAGTTTTCTCCACAGTGATGGAGCACTTTGGGGCACTTAGAGCACATAGAGCACTTTGGTGAAATCGCAAGCGGGATGGATAATCCATTCGATTTGCAGACAGCAAGCACGACATTTAAGGTGCCATACGTGGCTACGAATCTTATAAAGCGGGGTACACTCTGAACTTGTTGATCTGATATTGAACGGTCGAGTTTGGGTTTCAAACAAAAAACACATCTTAGGGAGCTTGTTGTGCTCTTTTGCTATAATATATGTTAATCATTTATCCCTATTATCGGGATAATCACTTCAGAAACTTTTTGATTTTCCAGTTTTCCTAATAGCTTCAACGACTCTTTTTGTCACCAAATTCTTATTCCATCATAAAGATACTGTTTCCTACGGGACAACATCGGCTAAGGGGTTAAGGACTCAAGGGGATTCGGGCAAGCGTTAAGTGTATGCGTGAGGCAAGAAAATGCTAACTGTTGTTTGTGGTCCTCGGCTAGACTGTTTCTGACAGAATTGTTTAACAACATATTCAGTCCTTTGACCAAATTAACAATGTTAAGAAACGTAAACGTCCCGGCTAACTCCTATAAAGGGCGTGATTCAAAAAAGCAACCTACCTGAGTTGTTTTCCAAACACTGACCAGGAATTATGACAATTATGCGGGAGATGTGTCTCCCCTCAGTGTTACTTGGATCCGAACTAGAGTGCCAGTATTCTAGTCGCAGTGAGAGAAGGAAATCTGGTTCCCCACATACATCCACGTCCTCCGTCGAAAGCCCTGAGTATTCGGATGTCGTGGATCGCTGAATGCAGGGTATCTGTCCACGACAGGCCAACAACGGTACTGCAAGAAAAACCGGTCGACCACACGCCTTCAGGACTGAGTCAAGGTAAACGAGGGCCTTCCGATGATACTTGGGTTTTCTCTTGACCATGTCCATTTTTGCCGAATTGATTGTCGATGTAAGCATGCCAAACTCGGCGTCTGTCACATCTTCTCCGAATAGGCGGCCGCTTTCATTGGGGGAGGTATTAGCCCCCTCACATTCCAATTCGAATTCGAGGGGCCGAAATCGAAGAACATCCAAAAACGTCATTTTTGGCCCGCATCCGCCTGTCAGCAGCACCTGAATAGATCCGAACTAATAGCTGAGTGAGCGCAGCACTTATTGGCTGTATCTTATGGCACAATGACCCCATCAAACTCCTTAGGGCTTTGCGAATTGCTGTAGCAGTACTACTTAGCTGCCAATAATTAAATATCAAAATATTTAACAAAATACATGAGAACAAAGGATAAGAATAAGGAAAGATCGTTGATCATAAACCACAAGTCTATTTACTCATGGATCTTCGAGAATTTGACAGTGGAATCAGGACGCAAATTGACTTACTTCACAAATTCAGACTCTTTGAGCCAGTCAAAGTTCCTCGGTTGTCATATCATCAGCAACGGGCTTTAACAATTTAACTATGTCTCAGTCATATAATTTCCACATATCGCCTTGCCGCTATATTTCTTATTCCGCCTACTCGGACATCTGAAAACCAGAATCTTAAATGAGTATTCCCATTTTCAGTGACCACATCTGGAATTACAACAGGGATAAGGCAGAATGCATTGTCTACTTCTGAATTATTAGCAGTCTTCGGAGAGACACACGCCAAGACCACATGCCAGGAAAACTTCACTTTGAATCCAAACGCCTTAAACATCGTAAATTCACACAACCACTCAAACATTAAACCATGGACGCATTCTCCTTTAGTTGAAGATAAAAAATTCTGCGCTAACTTTGAGGGAGTGCCTTCCAGCCAGGTTACGGCAATGAGCACGTACGACGGGATGCCCAAAAGTGGGAATAATTTATTCCAACCTTCATACAAATTAGCATCCCAAACTATTTGACCCCTTCAACATACTGTCCATTTGATTATATGCACATTTTCAACAGGTTTTCTACTGTTTAAAACATTTGTGTATTGTTCCGAACTAATGTTATTAAGTGCCTCCAGCGCTTCCTTATTAACCTATTCCACGTTCTGAAAACGGTCCCCCTTTAGCTCTTTCTTCATTCTTGGAAATAAGAGAATATCGCAGGGGGCTGGGTCGAGGGAAAAAGGGGAGGGGAGTATGAAACCGTTGTCATGCCGTTTGGACAAAATACGCGTTGTCACTGATAATTCAGCCAACCCCCCAATCGCTACAATTCAGGTAGTTTTTTCTCCCTGCCTCACGAAATCGCATCATCGCACACAGACCGCAGTGTCTGTTCGCTGGGTTCACAAAGGGAACAAATTCAACCTGAATGACGCCTTTTATGTCAAAAAAACCTAGCCATCGTGGACTTTAAATTTGATCTCACTTGCTGTACAAAATATCACCGAGAGCGTTGGAACGGCGGGAGGGGGGGAAGGGGGTGATTAAACAATCACTCTGTTCGCTGCGATGGTTTCTCGCGGACGCCACTTGGCCAGCTGAGTGGGAAAGGTGTCTGGTAAACGTACCTACTGGGAGAGGCCAACATTTGCCAATTTACTTGCCTGAAAAAAATTATTCTCGTTTTTTTGGATATCTCCTTGTACGTTCCGTTCCGCACAAGAGTTGCAGTTCTTAGTCGTCGCACGCAGTTAACCCGTGACCAATCAGAACTCAGAAGTAAATGCGAAGAACGTAGACAGGAGTAACCATCTTGGTTTATTATACCCAACTAGCCTGTGAGGTATCTATAACGGGACGTGCATGTTCTCTGGTCTAACTAGACCTGTAAATGTCACATACATGATAGATAATATATATTTTTATGACCAACAAGAATTCGCCACGCATAATGCTCCAAATTTCACCCAAAATTTCCTAAACCACATGCTTTCTATTTAGAACTACAGTCCCTCACAACATAATAATCCGAACTTATGACAAAAAGGAGGAGATATGGCGCTTTCTCATTGAAAATCAAGAGAATGGAGAACTACAGCACACTCAGAAAGTCAGAAGTTTCCGTTTTTTTTTACCGAACCACCATGCAATCGTTTCGACATAGTTTCAGATATAATGTTAACTTTTTTATCTTTAAAGACGCAAAAAGCGGAGAAACAATTAGCCTCAACAGGGTATTGGAAGATGCCAGACTCTATGTAAGTTTAAAGTAGATGAAAATGGTGTTAAGAAGCACCTTTTCCTCAATGAAGTCGCAAACATCCGCATGAGTCGAACAGTTCATTTCCCAGTAGCTGTGTGTAACATTTTAACTTTTTTCATTTGCAACAGCGTTACGTCTGATCAAACAACTATAATCAATCGTTTTTAAGATAGGGTCTTGCCAACAACAAAACCTCCTCTTTGCTTTTGTCGTTGTTTAATAGGCTGAAGAAAGATATCAGAGTTACTTGTGGCTGCTATAAGAAATGGGAGATCAACTCAATGTGTTTATTGCAATTTAGGGGCCAGAAACTCAAAATTTTAACAAAGATTGGACGCATAGTTACCTTGGAATGGTTAATCTTGTATTTGCCGTATTGCATGCTACGTAGTCTCACCTGGCCCGTCAACTCGTCAGCCAAGGTGAACTTGCATCGCAGTGCGCCTTCAGGGCAATTCGATGAAGGGTCTGGGAGTGCGGGTGGCTCTCTTAGGATGTCGATTCCTCGGAACGTTAGCAGAAATGGCCTTAGCCTTGTGAACTGGGCTTCTGACAAGAGCCTTCGAGGCAACGAGAACAGGGCAGAGAACCGACATATGCGGTTTCCCCGCACAAAACACCTATGTCCGCTTGCGGTAGGTAGAGAATTCCAGCTGAAAAAATGGGACATATCAACTGGGAGCTGGAAGGAACATGGCTGCGAGCTGGACTGTCGCCTTGAGATGGACTTTCGACTGGTTCGTCTGAATGCCCCTGTCCCAGTTGAACTTCTTAAGGAGGCGGCTGAAAGACCAGTGAAAATTTTGTCAACAAGACTAATTAAGAGACCGCTAATGGCCACCATTGGTTTCATGTAAACATGGAGCTTTCTATATGTGCCGACGATTTTCACTCTTATTATCTAGAGCTTCGTCTTAATCCATGCAAAAGTGCGATCAGTAAGTGCCCTTATCGTCAAAATGAGTTGCCTAAAAATTAACAATTAATAATTACAGAAATATAATACTGACTGCAAAATAGGACGATGTGCTTCAATGAAAAACGATAACTTTGTCCTCGCTCGCTTGCTCGCCTCACCTTTTTTCAGCTTTTTATTGCCATTCGCTTTCTACTCATTTTCTTTTACTCCTCTTTTATTCTTCGTCTCCCTTTCATCATTCGTGGGGTATCCAAAAACGAAAATTATCTATTTAAACTTTTGGCACGGCTCGAAAACGCGGTTCAGTTGGGGAATAGAAGGCCTTGGGGCGTCCAATAGGAGTAACATTGTAAAAGAGATTTTACGGTTGAGGCTGCAGGAAAACAGTAAAGAATTTGCGAAAGCTAAGGAAAAAACACAGGTATTATAGGCAACTATGCGTGTTTGTTTCAGTGGATACTAAAATCCCAGCCTTAGCGGCGCACAATGCAAAAATTTGCTGCAGGTAACCAGAAAAGGCAATACCACAAAGAATGAGGTTGATTGGCCCGTCATGGTCGTCGAAATTGAATAACCTAAGAATGTGACCAATCAGACGTAAGCCGTAAATGAACGTTGCAGGAAATGGATACCGAATGACTCCCTAACCCTAAACCTAACTCCAACCCCAAACCCTAATCCTAATTATAATTCTATCCCCAACATAAAAACTGGAGTAATGTTCCTGACCCTAAAGCCCGAACCCTCTTCCTAATCCTAAAACCCCGACCCTGACGTAATTGTGAATCATGGTCGCTGCAGTCCGCGAAACACCTCAAATCAAAAGAATCCACAAGTAGTACTGCGCCCACCAAAACCAAAAATAGTACGAAACTGATAATTTGGTGGTCAAGCAGGACCGCATTTCCGAGCCCCACGAAACTTTTTATTTAAAAAAGATCATAAAATATTAAACCCCCGCAAAATACTGCCCATATGATGATTGGCACATTTTTAAACGGGTTTTCCACCGTTCGAAGTACTCTCTACGCTCTACTGGGTTTATGCTGTTAGATGCATCCGGGGATTTCCTATTAACCTATCCCACGTTCTGAAAACGTTTTCCTTTAGCTTTTTTTAATTCTTGAAAATAAGAAAAAATCACAGACGGTTAGGTCAGACGGGTAAGGGGTACAGGGTATGAAACCGCTGTCATGCCGCTTTGACCAAAAAACTGGTTAAGTGTGAATGTTGTGTGTGCAGGCGCGTGGTTACGATTCAGGTAGTTTTTTTCTCCCTGCCTCACGAAATCGCTTCATTGCATACAGACTGTTTTGTTCGTTCGCTGTGTTGACAAAGGAAACAAATTCAACCTGAATGACGCCTTTGATTTCGAAAAAACAAGCCATCGTGGACTTCAAATTTGATCTCACTTGCTGTGCGAGATATCACCGAGAGCTTTGGGGCGGCTGGGGGGTAAGTAACCAATCACTCTGTTCACTGCGATGATTTCTCGCGAACGCTATTTGGCCAACTGAGTGGGCAGTGTCTGGTAAACGTACCTACTGGGAGAGGCCAACATTTGCCAATCTACTTGCCTGAAAAAATGATTCTCGTTTTTTGGATACCCCTCTCGTATACTTTCGCCTTATCCAGGTTTCGTTTGGCGTGATATACTTTCCCCTTTCTTGTTCCTTTAATTCCTGTTACCACTTCCCACCCGTCAATATAATGTTAAAAATGTGCCTTCTCGATTTTGGACAACCACAGCATTTATTGCGTACTTGAGAAACCACACACTCTCTCCCATATTCTTCGCATGTCAGCCGGACATTTAGGGGAACAAGTGTGGATGAACTATCTTCCTCTCCAACATTACCACAAAGAATGATTTATTTTAACTTGAGAAACCCATCTCATGGAATATTAGCCGAAATTCTGGAATGCATTTTCGATTAGGAAGGATTACTTAGATGATGTAGTAATACTGATCAATATACAGCATAATCCTATGATAATTTGGACCTGCCAGGATGTCGTCTTTTTAATACATTTC